CCCATGTGAGATGAGAACTGCGATGATCCATGGCCCATACCACACACAGAGAAGTACCCTTGTATAAAACCCATCTGGACAAGTGCAGGGTTTGTCCCTGGATATGCATGCATGGAATGCAATTTTAAAAAATGTCCTTATAAAGAAAGCTAGGAATTTAGCTTGTGGCATGCGGTCGAAAAAGAGAGCAGCGCTGCCACGTGAAGAAGCGAGACAGTTAGTTCTTTTCCTTTTCTTAATTTTCTTTTTATGTAAATGCAGCACAGTTATTTGCACACCGATGGTACCACGCGATAGGAAGGGAGGCAAAAGTTTGGATATGGGACGCTGGACCCGGTTTCCAGCACAGTTGTGTCTGGCTCAATGATGCAAAGGCTTGCAAAGATGTATTCAAGGGATGCTGGACCCGGTTTCCAGCAGGTGATGCTCCCCACCAATAGATGGCGCCAGGCAAGACCTCAATCCCGGTGGTTCTCTTACCACCACCAGGATAGAGGTCTTGTACAAGGGCCTTGCTGAAAAAAAAAGTTATGTGCACACGAGGTGGTTGCACGCACACAAGCTAGCTTCCTGCCGCCCCACTTCGCGCTAATGCCTTCTCCACTCCATCTTCTCCTAGCAACTTGTTCATATTGTCACTCTTAACAACAGAAAAAAAAATCGTGTTTTTTTTTGTGTCTTTCAACGTTGTTGCAATAATGGATATTAATGCACATACATTTCATCTGTTGATCTGAATTTTCACCACAAGACCAACATTGGTTCAACATTGGCCCAACATTGGCTCAACATTGGATCAACATTGGATCAACACGTCCAACATTGGTTCAACATCAGTTCAACACATGCCCAACACAGTTGAAGATTGGGGCAGTTCGAGAAAAAAAAACAAGAGTTTATTTTAACATTTTTGATGTCTGCACCAGTACATTTATAAACATGAGGAGGTTCGAGATGCGTGCTAGTTTTTTTTTAACGACGGTTTCAAAAGGTCTCAAAATACCAATTTGTACAGCACTCCAAAATAGCAGAACCGACCGTGGTTCCGTCTGTTTAGACATTGCTTCTGTGTGTGTCTCGAACATAATCCATGACCACGTGGCTATTAAAACAGAATGCTAAGTAGAACTGTCTAAAAAAACACGTGGTTATAAAAACTTGTAGTCGACAACCATGTGATCATTTGCACTGCAAGGTACACATTGTGTCCTAAATGTCACGTGGTTGTGGACGAATGAGTGAGTGTGTGTGAGAGAGAGAGAGAGAGAGAGAGAGAGAGAGAGAGAGAGAGAGAGAGAGAGAGAGAGAAAGAGAGAGAGTCCAAAAAAAGGGAGAGGTCAATGACAACATGCAGTCCATAAGAAGGGAGAGGTTAATGAAAACGTGCAGTCCACAACCATGTGACCTTTTGCACTGCAAGGTACACATTGTGTCATAAAAGTCATGTGGTTGTGGACGCGCGCGCGCACGCGAGAGAGAGAGAGA